ATTTTGGACAAAGTTTGTGTTTTTCACATTTTTGTAAAAATATATACTGGTTTTTAGACTTGGCTTCCGACTTCTTATATTTTGCTACCGACTTCTTCAATTACTGTAACTGTTCAGTTTGTTTGTAAACATCAGCTCCAAATTTAGCTATAATATATATCTTTAGTGTAGACATCGTATAAAATTAAACATCACTCAAATCATGACCCTAAGATTCTAAACGCAATATTTAAAGGTTACGTTCACAGGGCTTATTCTTTATTCAGTAATTTATATTGACAAGATGGGATTAATTTCCTTCTTCAAATATTTAACGAAAATGGATACAACATATGCCAACTTAAACAGATTGCAAAATAATTTGGAAATAAATGGTCTCTAAAAATCAGTAAAATTTAATCAGACTCTCTTAACATCTCTACAGTATCGTTGCCGTGGATACCATCACTATCCCCAAAACTTCGGAAAATATTTCGGAAAGCTGGCTATAGAGTAGTCTTCAAATCAAATCCAGATTTAAAAACATTACTAATGTCAAAAAACAAAACTAAATTACCACAAAATAGTCAACCCGGAACTTATTTGATTGAATGCAAATGCTCAAAGAGATACGTAGGCAAAACTAAACTTCAAATTAGGACATCTAAAAAGTTTAAACGAGGAAAAACATCTAAAAAGTTTAAACGAGGAGAAACATTATCAATCTGGAATAGTCTTCCATAATAAGTTTTGCTCACAAAAAATAAAGTGGGAAAACGTAAAAACATCTATATATATATATATATATATATATATATATATATATATATATATATATATATATATATATATATATATATATATATATATATATATATATATATATATATATATATATATATATATATATATATATATATATATATATATATATATATATATATATATATATATATATATATATGTATATATATATATATATATATATATATATATATATATATATATATATATATATATATATTATTCGACCGTTCCTGCACTTTTATTTTCTGCATGACACCACTGCTGTCGTCTAAACCTTCATAACTATTTAACAAATGTTTAGTTTTTTTATTATTATTTTTTTTTTATTTTAATGTTTTTTTTCTTTTGTTATGCTGTTTACGGCCTGCATCAATTAAATTAGTGTGTCTTCCGAACAGCTGACTTATGCAAATAATAATGTTCATAATTCTCTAGATAAACCTCTTGAGCACACTGAATCTTTTTTGTCGAAAATAATCATTGAATCTATTTAATCGCTATATATTATTCACTATATCTCACTGTATGCAATCAATGTAATCACATTTTCAGACTGAATATAGTGCATTTCCAGGTTGTTCAAAAGGTTTTGCAAACCTAGATAGAGTCTTGTTTTCAAGCTTGCTGGAAAGCGGTATCCCTTTTTCCTCCCTGTTATTTCTTTTTTTTTAAATTCTGGAGAGCGATCTAACTTGTATAACTACCCTCCGATTTGTCTTCTTTCTATCATAAGCAAGGTTTTTGAGTCTTAACAAACACTTAATTTCTCATTTTCTAACCATCGTTCCCTGCCCCAAACGTGAGAGCAACAAGATGATGAAATATTTTTTGAACTATTTTCCACTAGACTTATATTCATCAATAAATTATAAATTTTATTGTAAAATATTTAAATCCCTTCAATTTGAGGGGGTTACAAATTTTATATGGTCATATTTTTTGAACGCTGAGAAACTATACTATAGAACTTAAAATTTCTCGAGGAATTTAAGTCTAGTTGAAAATAGTACAAAAAAATATTTCATCAACTTGTTACTCTATTTAATTACTCTATATGTATATTGATATATATATATATATATATATATATATATATATATATATATATATATATATATATATATATATATATATATATATATATATATATATTTATATATATGTATATATATATATATATATATATATATATATATATATATATATATGTATATATATATATATATATATATATATATACATATATATATATATATATATTGATATATATATATATATATATATATATATATATATATATATATTGATATATATATATATATATATATATATATATATATATTGATATATGTATTGATATATATATATATATATATATATATATATATATATATATATATATATATATATATATATAAAACATAACTGTTATCGTCTTGCAGAAATGTTCTCCGGAGCTGTTGGTCAGTAATATATATATATATATATATATATATATATATATATATATATATATATATATATATATATATATATATATATATATATATATATATATATATATATATATATATATATATATATATATATATATATATATATATATATATATATATATATATATATATAAAACATAACTGTTATCGTCTTGCAGAAATGTTCTCCGGAGCTGTTGGTCAGTAAAATCATAGAGCCGAAACTATATATATATTATATATAGTTCCGGCTCTATGATATCACTGAACAAAAGCTCCGGAAAACATTTCTGTAAGACGGTAACAGTATGTTTTTCGGACCACAAGCTATAGAAGAGTCTAAGCAGGAAACCACATTAGATGCAAAAGCCGAAGTGATATAAATGTCAAGCAATTAATCAGTCTGTTTGTCAGCTATATCAAGTAGAATGTGATTAGTGAAATCAGAAGATGAGATTAATAAAAGGTTCTTAGCAAACAATTCAGCCTTGTATTTAGATGAGGTAACAAAATCTGAACCATGCAAGAGAGGAGGATTTGCTTTTATTATAGACACTATTAAAGATTATATACTTTCACGGGAGCCAAATTTTTGAGATGTAATACAAGATTTTCTGACCTGAGAATAGCGGGCTTTGGCGTTAGAAAATATTTTTACAATAGCTTCTAGTAATAGTAAACAGACGTCTGTTTTCAGGAGAATTGTTTTGGTAATTTTTACCTAAGGGCTATCACGAAGAAAATCACAGAAAGAGTCTCAGTCAGTTTTAAGGTAGAAGTAAGAGGTACAATGATAAGGGGATTCTGATGATGAAAAAGAATGAGATAATAGTTTTTGCGAAATTAAACCGTGATCAGAAGCACCTAAGAGTGAATGTGGAAAAACTGAGTACTGACTAGGATCAGAAGCAAGACATAATTGAGTAGAGAAGATAAATGATTCGGATTGTCTAGAATGCGAGTTAATTAATTGACTATGTGTGTCGGAGATTTAGAAAGGCAAAAGTTGTGTGCCTCAACATCTGCAAAGTTACTGACACTGAAACCAAGCCAATCAGTGTCGGGAGCATTAAAGTCACCCACAACAACGATATTGAAGAGAAAGAGCTTCATCAGTTTGATCAGAAATAACATCAAAAAGAGTGTAGCCTTGAGATTAAAGAAAACAAGTAGGTCTGCTGAACTTTGCAAGATATAAGACTCAACAGATAAAAAGCTACTTCAAAGACCACAAATATTAGTGAGTGATAATATTAAAAAACTTGGTGATGACAATGGTTTTTTATAGTTTTTGATACTTAAATCATTTTTTTATTGGTGAAAGAAAGTTATTCCCAGTTATCTATCTGTGCTTGACTCAAAGCACAGATAGATAACTGGGAACAACGCCAGCCTTTTAGACGAAAACCTATATATATATATATATATATATATATATATATATATATATATATATATATATATATATATATATATATATATATATATATATATATATATATATATATATATATATATATATATATATATATATATATATATATATATATATAGGTATATATATATATATATATGTATTTTTATATATATATATATATATATATATTTTACTTCTTATACTTTTATATTTTTATTTTACTTCGTACAAATAAATGATTTGCAAAAAATGTGATTTATTCAGCCATAATATGGTAAATTATATATTGTAATAAATCATATCGTAAAAAATACGTAATTTTGTGAAGCTATATTGTAGCTCCACAAAGTTACGTATACTTTCATAAAGTACAAAAGAACTTATAATTTAAAAGCTATACATTTTGTAACAAAACTGTAACCAGATTTGGGTTGAATATAAAAAAATAAATTCACAACAGGTTATTTTTTGTCTGTAATGAAATTTTTTTATTTTATCTTGTTGATCAGTGCAATTCAAATAAATAGGATAAAAAAACAGTAGCAAAAGAGTTGAGAAATATCAAGGTAAGCGTACATTTTATTGACAAAAAATTTTATAATCACAATTATTTTTATAAAAAAAATTAATAGAAGCAATAGTTTACCTAATACAGAACAACTAGCAAAAAACAACGAAGTTTGAAAAATAAGTTACGCCATCGTGATTTTCTCTTTGACTTGTTAATTATTTTTTTAGAGATGATCTGTATTTATTGTTATAATGTTTTATAACTGAATTTGAATTCCAGAATTTTTACCTCTTTTGCAAAAAGAAGTTCCACTAGAATAATAAGCAAAAATGAATGACGTAACTTTTATTAAAACTTAACCAAACAGGATCAAATCCAAACAATGTTTTAATGGGCTTGTTTTAACCGGAAAAAAAAACAGTCAAGCATAAATTGAAAAATACAAAAAAGATTATAACTCTGCTTATCTTTGTCAAAATTCAATTTTATTTATTTGTGTTTAAATAATGTTTAAATTTTATTTATTAGTGTTTAAATTCTCTTTGCAGATAGACTTTGGCAATCATTTCAATCGCCATCAAGACTAGATGATCAGCAATATTCGTCAATATTCTTTTATGCTTTAAGTTTTGCGCATATGTGGAAAAAAATAATTATTACATATAAATATATTAAAAACTATAAATTTATAAAATCTTAATTTCACATCTTTTTTTATTAAAATTTTTTATTTATTTTATGGTTGTTTACGCTTCCGTAAGATTCTTACTCAAAGATTCTTATGATTTTAATTCAGATACACAGCTTGATATACCTATTTACATTTATGTATTACAAGATTTTAATTCAGATACACAGCTTGATATGCCTATTTACATTTATGTATTACAAGATCATTTTGATCTTCTTTCAGATCTTTGTGATCTTTTTTCAAAATCTTTTTATATTGCTTATCTTTGCAAATTTGTAAAATTTTTGAATTATAAAATATCAAAGATCAAAATACATAAATTTGTTCAAAACCACCTTGAGGTTCTATGTATAAAATAGGATAATTGTAAATCAATGATTTCCGTTCTTCTTCTTTGTTTGTGAATTGATGGTTGCTTTTTCTGCATTCGTTGACGAAGAAGTTAGACATATATTGTGAAATAGTTATGGCTTCATAAGAATGATTAATTGTACTCTCTCCACTCTCAGCTATTGGAAACTCAAAAACATTTTCTTCTGGATGCCATTGAGTTGCATAAAAAGGATAGAAGCGAGCTAAAATAAATAATTAAATTAAACAGTTAACACGTTAGATGGTACACATTAGATGGTACACATTAGATAGATAATTAGATGGCCTATGAAAAACTTTTTAAGCACAAAAGTTTCATTCAAAAATTTTATTCTAAGTTTCAAAAGTTAGGTGTTACTTTAAAAAAAAATACGTTGCTTCCTTTACATTATAAAAAAAAGTGTGATGGAAACAAAAAAATTTAAAACACGACTTCTTAAAAGTAACAAGTGATAAACACTCCAAAATTGGTATGGTTGTTATATATAGAATAAATACAAAATTCATTTGATTTTTCAAATTGTCTTCCTGGTTTAGACCTTTAAAATTATGACAGATAAATTCTTATTTTATCAACTAAAAATCAGCTTAAAAAATGACAAATAAAAAAACTGGATGAAAAATGATAAATAAGTTGTATGGATAAAAAACTTAATCGGTCATTTTAAACTTGAGGTGTTTAAATGTTTGAAAATTAAAAAAAACAAACATAAAATCTTAAAACAAGAAAAGTTAGGAATCAAAATTTCTATCAATATACACCCCACATAAAGCCGCAAAAACAATAGGAATCTGTTATTTTAGCCCTCATAATATCCCTTATGAATTAGATTTTGGTTCGTATTTTACTTTTTGTATTTCGAAAATGGTTTACATTTTACTTGGATTTTTTATAAAACGTTTTTGAATAGTCAATTATCCTGATAATCCTGATAGAAGTAATTTAATAATTTTAACATCAGTAATTAAATACTTATAGATTTTAATCTCCGCTATCATTATAAGGAATTACTTCAGAATTTAACACCAAATCAAATATCTTTATACTTTCAAATATGTTTTTGAGACGACGAGTTCATAAAATTAAATAAAATGTTGCATTTTAATTTTTGATAATTTCTCACTAAGTCATTTTCAGATAAATACTTAAAAATTGGTCTTATTAAGTTGTGAGTTAAGATTTAATTTGTTGCTATGAGTATTTTTATGACGTTTTACCTAGTCTAGTAGTCAGTTTGTTACATAGATTACTATTTTTTATTTTTTTTCCACTAATGACATGTTGTTTCTCCTGAAGAAACATTTTGTTTTTAATTATTTATTTACAGGACACTTCTTTTTTTTTTAAATATATTTTATTTGTTGCTCTTTCTAGAAGACATTTAAGTTATAAACATGTGCAATTTGTTTGATAAAACCTAGAAATACAAAACTTCTCAATGATAATACTATATTATAGCACAACCGACGTTAAAAGTTTATAAAATAACTTATTATTAGATAATGTGCTTTTAAGGCATGGTCAAAAACGTTGTATATAAACGTATGTATATCATTTACAAAAAAGAATCTTCACAAGGTTTATTATTTTAGCCATCTAACTTGGATAAATAAAGGTCTTAGTTTTACATTGCCAGGGGTAAAAAAGTTAATTAGTTCAACAAAAAATATTTTTTAAAACACTTTTTAGTTTGATGAAAACTAAGAGTCATCAGAAAAAGACTAAAATTTAATATAAAAACAACTTTTAAAATTTATTGTATTTTTGGTTAAAAATTACTTTTTTTTCCGATTGTATTTAATATAATTTTTCCTAAAGTATTTAATGGGTAAAAACAACAAAATATGTTATTTCCAGTTTTTCATTTAAAAACCTTTTCCTCTTAAACTCGCCTAAAAACCCCTACAACTCCAGTACTCAAGTGCACATTTTATAGTTTATTTTTATATTTTATATTTCATAGTTTATAGTTTGTTTGATTTCTCGTTTCTCCGCGCAGCGGCCTTGTTCGTCAAGGTTCGAACCCTTGGTAACCACAAATAAGTAGCCTCCTCCTCTGTAGTGGCATTTTCGGCCTTGAGGAGGTGAATTAACAAAAAAAAACAACAATTCTATGGGTATTTCACTCTCCTAAAGTTTTCACCTTTTTATAAATTTGAATCAAATTTTTAAATTTTAATGTCCGTTAAAAAATAATATATCAAAAGTTGATATTGCACTAAAGAGGAAGAAACAAGTTTAGTTTATTTTATTGAATACATTTTGATATTTTTTGGACTTTAAATAGGAAATTTATATAATTTTTACTGTAATTTTAAACATGTAATTATGACTTATGAGTTTATAATTAGATTTGACATTAATAAAATTTTGTTCAAAATGTTTTATTGTTGAAGTTTCTGAGAGGAGACTAACTGCTTTTTTTTATTAGTAGATATTTTTGTCATTTCAGACAAAAAATCAATAAAATTGACAGTGGGAATTTGTGTTGTTAGTATGGTTTATTTTCTTAATATATTTATACAATCAGTACAATATTTAAAAAAGTGCCATTCTTTACACATATTATTCTCAGCACTGAAAAATTTATTAAATAAAGTCAAAAAGTAGACAAAAAATTATTTCTGTTCGTCTTTTATAACGACATTAAAAATAAGTGTTTAAAATAAATTTTAATTTTTTTTAATACTAAGTTTTTATATAGATCTTAAAAAAGGTGGATTAGAAGGTTGATCAGCCCCTTATTTAATAATATACCTTAGTCAGTGATGTAGGCCTCCCGACTTAAATCTTTTTTTTTTGTTCTTTATTACAATATTAAAAAAGGAAAGTTAACAAGTCAAGATATTGTTAAGAAATAAAGTATAAAAATAAATATAAAGAACGCGGATACTCAAAGAAGACCATCAGGTCTAGTCACAGAGAAACAGCTATTGAAAAAATTAAAACGTTTTTTTTTTTTAATGGTTTTTCCCTTTAGTTATAGTGTTTATGGCTTGCATCAATCAAATTACTGTGTCTTCCGAACAGCTGACTCATGCGAATAATAATGTTCATAATTTTCTAGATAAATCTCTTGCGCACACTGAATCTAATTTGTCGAAAATAACCACTGAATCTTATTAATCGCTATATATTATTTACTATATATCACTGTATATAATCCATGTAATCACATTTTCAGACTGAATATAAGACATTTTCAGATGTTCAAAGGGTTGTGCAAAAGGACCTAGATACGATGGTTATCGCTGTGTGTTTAGCAAAATTACCAAATTTTCGTTTACGCTTCTGACAACAAAAGTCTTTATCTCGAGACGTCTTGAGACTAATATTTAACTGTCTTGGTTTTGTTATTGGTCTTCAAGCTTGGAGTCTTTGTCTTAAAAGCCTGGTGTTTTGGCCTCTGCCTTGATCTCGGACCTTTTTGTTCTTGCCCTATCTGATGCTTTTAAAAAATATCAACACAATTAATGGATTAGTAATAATGAATCGTTAATTGCTGCAACTACCCGCTCTTTAGGAGAGTTGTACCTAGAAATACGTTTTTCTCTTTTTTTACGGATATCTTTGTCAGAATGTCAAACTGGCAGATAAAATTCCCACAACTATTAAGTTCAATAACTTTTTGTTATGAAACATTATTTTTTTCTTAAATAAATGTAACACATAGTAATTTTTTTTTTATAGTTAATAATAATTATTTCAAAAACGAAAAAAAAACAAGCAAACAAACAGAGAAAGTTTGAAAAATTTTTGAGGCAATACTTGGATTCTGTAAAACTTAAAATGTAAGATGGCAATGCTGAGTAAACTAGTATAAATACTCAGCCTTTTGAAGAGACTACAGATTTGTTACAGAGTGATAATTATCCAACAAAAGGACGTATTGTGTCTTCAACTGTTGGCTTGCATAAGGGTTTAATACACTTAACTGTCAAATACCACACTTCACTGGTTAACAATTTATTAAGCACTTTGTGTGTCAGGTTTGGTGACTTGTTGCAGAATGTCAAGATTTTTCCAAAAGGTCACAAAATTAAGAAGAACTCAATTTCTTTATAGTTTACCTTATGGCCTGAGCTTTAGATCCTAATTCCTAAAACTATGGCTAGAGGAAGACCATCCTGGACCAGATGATGTTAAAATATTTGTTCGCGAACACATTGCATTGAAAAAGTTTTTCTTTATTATTATTTTGTTTGAACTATGTAGTCGTTGCTGAATGGATAAAAATTAACAGTGGTTTAAAAATAAAATTCTAATAGTTCCGTAAAACTTTGTTAGTTAATTAGATTTCACTTTTTTTAATGTTTATATCAACAATATTGATTTTAAAGTTCTCATAAAAGCAGTGTTTTCTTCCATTATAGAAAACGGAAACGGAAAACGGAAAAAATGGTTTGAATTGCATTGGGTACATATGGAAATGAAACATGATTAAAACCACAATTTGCTGATTATTACAATATTATGAATCCTCTGCTAGAAAAGCTGTTCTGCATTCCATCTTTTTCTGCGCCAGTAGAACGCTTAATCAGCCAGGAATGTTAAATTATGCGACCAAATCATGCCGGACTGAGAGATAAGATGTTGTTGTCTCTTTTATATTTGAAGCGTAACAGAGATACGTTAACCATGATACCTTTTTAAGGATATTTATCTGCAAACAATTAGTAGATGGTTTTATTATAGCTCTAAATGGATCCATAAATCTCTTCATATGCCTTGTAGCTTTTTTATCATATTCAAATGTAAAATATTTTATATTAATTAAATTAATATTTATATTGTAAACAACTTACTTATATATCGGTATACGCATACGATCTAAATTCATATTCGATTTAAATTCGAATCTTAAAAAGTCGACTTCGCCGGTCCTTAGAGCTGATTGTCTTTTTGCTGCTTTGTTACTACAGTTTCAGCTGTGGTATCAAAGCAGAAACGCCGTGAATAATGACTAGATTTTAAACTTTCTTAAATTGCTTTTCCTCGAGAATGCTATTATGGTTTACAAGCATGCTCAAAAATGAATCAAATTTATTTAGTTGAATATTCTTTGACTTACTGCTATGGTACATTGCTATGCAGTTTAAGCTTTCCACAATCTTTAAAGTCATCTATGCAAAAAATGTTACGGATCTTACATCGAAACATTTTTCAAGATTTGCTTGAAGATTATTGGTTTCAGTCGGTTTA